CGGATTAGGCGAAAGTTAAAAGCCATTTCCCCCGAATCGGAGATTGGGCATAGCCGAAAAGGACACTCGGCGATAAGTTAATGCCCTTGGCGATTTCGGAGGGTCCCTTTTTTGAAGGTTCTCTGCGGTCGTACTGCCTGAATTATTAACGTCACGGAAAAAGGGTCGATTTGACTGTGGCAATGTCGAACGCGAGGAGGGTTTGTATGGAAATTGAGGTTCCGTTATCGAAATGTTAGGGGTTTTCTTAAATAATACATTTATGGAAAAAAAAGATTTGGAAGCTCGATAAAATACGAAATGCGGAAAGGTAAGCAGAGATTTTTACTATTAAAACAAGAATCTATGAAGAAATAATTGGTGATTTTTAAAAATAACTTATTACAAAGAAAGATCTAATTACAAAATAATAAATCTATAAAAGTGTCCAAACCAAACCAAGCCAACCATGGCTTCTGTATCCCGTCTGTTTAACTTGTGTCTCTGTGTGTTAACGACTTCGTAGATATACCAACTAAAAAATGAGATAGCATATACGATCGAAAAAAACGGCGTCAAAGACGGCTGGGAAATGACAAAATAATTTTGGCGGGGTCAAGCCCTAGACGTCATTACTTGGCCCGTACTTTTCTTTATTTTTTACTGGCGTTTGTTGTCAATTGGCCTTAAGAAGGTTGTATTTTTTTATATTCACTAAAAAACTGATTTTTAAATGTTGTAGTTTAAAATTTGAAATTTTTTTTTCAAACATCACAAAAGTATTAACTTTTGCGACGTGATTGACAATATAAAAAAGTAATTTTAACGCCTAGGCATTGCCTAAGCACAAAAAAGTACGAAATATATTATTAAACTGATATGAAATGTCAAATTCAACGAGCGTAACCATAGTTTCTCGATATATAATTACATACAAGATATTACTTTTACATCTTTTTATATTATTAGAAACGTTTGAAATTGCTTAAAAAATATTTGTGGTGTTAGCATAGTTAAAAAATAGCATGTTCTATTCGGAATAAAAATGACTTTTTGTGGCTCGCCTGTATATCCAATGTAAGTCATTTTTACTCGGAATAGAACATGCTATTTTTTTTCAAACGCCACAAATAAGTTTTTAAACAATTTTAAACGTTCCAAACAACATAAAATGATTTAAAAGTCATATCTTGTATGTAATTATACATATAATATGGAGAAATTATGGTTAAGGATCGTTGAATTTGACACTTTATGTCAGTTTAACAATATATTTCCGTACTTTTATGCCTAGGTGTTAAAATGACTTTTTTATATTGTCAATCACGTCGCAAAAATTAATACTTCTGTGACGTTTAAAAAATATATTATCAAACTGACATAAAGTGTCAAATTTAATGAGCGTAACAATAGTTTGAAACTGTTTAAAAAAATATTTGTGGAGATTGTTCTATGTTGTGGATGTTCTATTCCGACTAAAAATGAATTTTTGTGGCTCGCCTGTTAATCGGTCAAACGTACAGCCTCGCCACAAAGAGTGTCATTTTTACTTCTAATAAAACAATATACTATTTTCGTAAATTGCAATTGGGAAGATTTTTGTGGCTGGAAACGTTCTATCCCTTTTTAATCTTTCTATACCTAGTGTTAAGCTTCATTCAGAACCTCGAAATCAGTGGAATAAATTAGTAGTTTCAATTAGCCGTAGAAGTTTGTTCACCTAATTTTAATGTCAGCATACAAAACATAATAATAGTGATAGTAATTTTCAATTAATGGAAAAAGTTAACAAACTTTTGCCTTTTCCACTAATTATACTTCAAAATTTGCGACAAATGTCATTTTGGCCTTTGATTATCACCCATCAAGAAAAATTTTAGTTAGAAATCAAAAGTTTATTGTTTTATAAGCTAAATATTATGCTTTCTCTATGGATACAACAACCTACCGCAAGCTGTTGCTAGGATATTTTATTCATTTTAATTGTGCTTTTTAGATATTGTGAATGATCGTAAACTAAAAAGTGTAAAGCGTAATTGAAACCACTAATTGATTCCGCTAATTGGGAGGTTCTGAATGAAGCTTTAATTTTCACAAGTTAAAAATTTGTTAACATTTTCCACTCATTGAAAATTCCTGCTACCAATTTTGACGTTCTGAATCCTTACATTGACATTAGAGGAACAAAGTTCTACGCTAATTGAAACCACTAATTGCGAGTTTCTGGGTGAACCTTTTAAAATACCTAATTTATGTATTTTTTACCAGAAGGAAAATCCATGGCAACGGCCTTTGACTGCAAGTACATAGAGACATCTGTGGGCATCAACCACAACGTGGACGAGCTGCTGGTCGGTATTTTGACGCAGATCCGGCTGAAGCTCGAGAATCCCGAGAGATCGCGCGACCTGTTCAGAAAGCGCAGTTCGTCCAAGAAGAACCTAAACAGGAACAAGTCGCCGGCTTCCGGAACGGCCACGCCTACTAGCGGCAGCGCTCAAAATTCACCCAAAAAATACAGAGGTAAGATTTTTTTTTGTTATTATTAGAAATGGACGATAATGGATTTAATATATCGATAAGTTATCGCAATTCATCTATAGATATATTTTAGTTATCGATATGTCGATATAATTATCGATAACTATCGATATATCTATTATTAAGCTATTTATTTATTAAGGCTATTATTTATGATATTTTCAATTATATCATATTGATAGTAAATATGGATATAAAATTGGGAAAATTTCAAGATTTGCGCGAAATAAATTATTTATTGTACCGATATGAATGGTAAAAAGTCGAAAAATTACCTGTCCTAAAAATAGTTACCATGGATATACCGAGTGCGTCTCTAAAGTGGCTCACCCCTATAACTTTTATACCGTCCTATTGCTGCCAAAAATCACTAACTATGTTTTGAATCGGAGAATCGATTGCAAAAGTCATTAACTACGATTTCTGGCTATTTATGTTTTATTTTAATACCGAATAGCTACTAACTATAACATCTTTATGCAATGCAATTCTTCTTTAGACGCATTTTTCTCGGAAGTAATAAAAAGTAAGTTAGTGACTTTTGGCAGCAATGGGACGATAGTTTCTCGGTTAAAAAAAACGAGATATGGTATGTTAGTATATGACATAAATTAGGATTGTTTGACGTATTCAATTGTTTTCGATCACTTCCTGTTTCACCGGAAATGACTATAACTTTTGATTTTTCAATGACACCCTCGGTATTTTTTTACTTTATTCGATAGAAAATGAAATAATGGAATAGGATGACATATCATATGTCAACTTTTGACATTTTCGCATATGGTTTATCTGAAATTATAACTTGCGGTTCGTAACGAAAATTTTACTCGAAATACCAAGTGTGTGGTATCAAATTATTCGTAAAAAATGCTTTTTCCAAATATGCTAATGAGCCACCCTCGTTCCATTTGAAAAAATTGAGATATGCTTAAAAATGCAATTTGATTATTTTCTAACTGGCTAGGATAAGATACTAAAAACATTAGACAACCAAATCTATTTTTCCAAGGGTTCTTGATTAAGAATTAGTGTTTTTAACACAGCCTCACTCACAGTGGCACTCTAGATTGGATTTTAAAATACGATTTTTTATTAAGCGAGAATGTCAAAAGTTGACATATGATATGTCATTCTATTCATGAATGTCATTTTCTATCGAATAAAGTAGAAAAATACCGAGGGTGCCATTTAAAAATCAAAAGTTGTAATGATTTCCGGTGAAACAGGAAGTGACCAAAAACAATTGAATACGTCGATCAATCCTAATTTATGTCATATACTAACATACCAAATCTCGTTTTTTATCTGAAAAAATAAAAAAGTTATAGGGGGTGAGCCACTTTTGAGACGCACACGGTATAATCGCGAACATTTTAGCAGTGATATACAGGGTGTCGCAATATTCAGTGGACATAGAACTACTACAATTTACCTCTATACAAAAGTGCTTCGTTTGTCCGTTAGCGGGCATCAAACGTTAAAAAAATAATCAGGTTTATTCAGATATTTTAAGAACCGTTATTCCGTTATGAATGAAATTTTGGGTGCCTATGTTTTGCTAAGTGTTTTAACATTTGACTTTCACAAAAATCAAAAAAGTACGGGAAGGGTGAAAACTACCCCCACCCCTACATACATTTTGGTATAAACATTTTCCAACTCAACTGACGACCGATTTTTTTTTTGTAAAATGGTCCTTCTAGTATTTACTATATTTTTTGTCTCATACAAAAAAAACGCCACTGCGCATACTTTTTGAGCAAAAAATATGTTTTTCCGAAGCTGACTTCCAAAAAATGTTTTTTGTCGAATCAAGTTATGGAGGCGCACAAATTCTATTATGCTCTATTGAGAAAATATGGAATATTATGTTAGCATCACAAATTTTATTTGACAATAAGCTTCATAAAAAGGAATGTTCATTCATAAAAATGTCCATGGAATAACAGGACACCCTGTATACAGTATATCCCCGGATTGTCTTTACAAGAGGAAAAACTTTTTTATTATTGACATTTTAAGAAAAAATCAATCAACGTATAGATACTGGAATGGTTAAAATCCTCAACTTTTGCAATAAAAATGATTTATCGAAAAATTGGTATTTCCATTTACAGTAAATTTGTTAACATCTAAACCATATTTGATATACATATTATATTTATTCCTTACTTAATTCTTGACATTTTTATTTGTTACAGGAAGTCGAACGTCAGCCAGTTTGAAAGTTCGCAGTTTATTAAGCAAGTGCATAAGGAGAGACAGCAAATCCAAATCCTGTGAGAACCCTCCACGTTCTTTAAGCCAGTTTCATTATAAGATGATCCGTCGCGATCCTAGTCCATCCTAAGTCTCTGATCTTAGTCCTAGCTTTGTACCTTAATTTAAAATTAGTTGGAAAGTTTGACAATTGATATATCCGGATATTAGAGATAATCTATGGGAATTAAATCGACATCTCAAAGCTGAAAGTCTAAATTGTAAAGTTTTAGAATCATGATTTTAAGATCGATTTTATGGTTCAGGAAAAAGTTTCCTACAGGCTAGACTGTCTCTAATATCTGTGGATTATTGAAAGTAAAAATGTGGATTGATGAAATTAAGGATTTAAGGTGATTAAAGTTATTTTTAATTTTACTCTAAACTACTTATATTTTACTGCATTTCTTTTATGTTTATAACATAAATTTTATATGTATAGTCCGTTATTTAGTATTGTTTTATACTCGTGCATTTGTAATAAGTTACTAATTTTAAGATAGATTAGGGATGTATGATAGTATCAGTGATATCGATATTCTGAGAAATTCAATATTACTACATCCCTACATCCCTAAGATAGACTGTTTAAGAATGGTTCATTTGATGACATCAATATGATAATTCAGAAAAAAAAGAAAATTGGTAATTATACGCTTAAATATCACGCTTAACACTCAAAAATTTTGTATCAATCTACAGGGTGTTACATATTTAAGTACGATAGATTAGAACATATTTTGACAGCGGTATCAAAAGAAAAGAAATATTAATATTAAGGTTTAGTTTAGTTAAATTTTTTACTTGTTTTCTAAATGGAATTTATGAAATAAAACAGATTTTTTGTACTACGTGGATATTTGAGTTTAACATTTCAAGTAACTACCTACTAACAATTTTAAGAATAACTATTAACCATATTAATAAAGCGGGAAATGTTTCAAAGAGTGTTCCAGCTTATGTCAAAAATGTTTTATGTTTAAAACATTTTATATTTTCTAAATTAAAGGGTTTCTTAAACATAAAAAAGGAATAACCCATTTTTGTATATCTAAACCAACATTTAAGACGTTGTCCTTTCCAAATAGACTTATAAGAATCCTCCCTTTATTGTATTTTAAATGTTGAATGTTTAAAAATTAACTTAAAAGCCAGAAAAAAAAAGAAAAATCTATTTAATCAACTTGGGTCCATGTCTTAGATTTATAATATTAACTGAATGTAACATAGAGATATAAGTGCTAACCGAGAATCGAACGTTAGCACTAGCAAGGTGAAGCTTTAACAAATGAGATGTAGTGTATAAAGTTTTTAGATGTCCGTTAAAGTATGTTAATTTTTCGAATACAGCAGTATTATTAGGTAAATATAGATATTTTGTTAAACTTGGAAAACAAAGGAATTTTAATGAGTGGTAGCTAAGCCTAGAATTAAGTTCTCTAAAAAAAATAGGATGAACTATAGATAGACTAGATATATAGGTACAAATGATTTGTTTTACCCTGCATATACAAGCAAAATGTAAAACAAACTGTTTGTCTATTTACAATTTAATTTGATCACTGACTTAATATAATCTTTCAAGGATTTCCACGATGCATCATTGAGTAGTTTCAGGAAAAATGGTTAGTTTATACCCTTGTTGTGTTCTAGTCCCAGGGTTGCCAACTGGGGTCATCTATCCCAGAGGACAGTCCCTCTTTGATCCTCACTGGCCTTTCTCTCACGTTTTGAAAAGTCCCCATTTTACATATCAAACTCCAAAAATCTAAAGTTCATTTGTCTATCGCCACAATGCCTTAAAAATTATCAATCTGTGTCTTCACACTCCCACTCATCTGTACAGAAAAATAAAATGAAGAAATATCATGTACAAGAAATATTTTAGGAAACGAGAAACATAATATTTAACCATTTTATAAGGTTTACTTAATTGTTGGCTTGTGCTTGGAAAAAAAGTTTTGCTGAAATGGTTTAGCTCATTTTAACAAGCCTTTGTAATATAAATATTTTAAGTAAGAAAGTATATTCATCAAATACCGTTTACATAACATTTTGTTAAATCTTTTACATTTGGGCGAGGGTTTCAAAAATAAGTCTTGTCCTTGCTTCTTTTACCTCTCGTCCCACTTTTATTTTGAAAGTTAAGTAAACCCTAGTTAGTCCCAACCTTACACCCTAACATTAACATCAACCTAAACTTAAGAAAATGACGTTCATGCTTTCTTAATTTATCCCTCTGAGTATTCTAGTATGCGCTTATGCTCATAAGAAACATCATTATGTTTTGAGCACAATGATAACATTCATTAGTTCTAGATAAGCATTAAGCATTTCTAGACCAAAAAATAAATAATTATTAGCATTTATAATTAGTCAAGATGAGTTTAAAATTAGGATTAGTGGTAGGATTAAGATCGGAAGCATGAACTAGCCATAAACAAATTAAAACTATTAATGCTTACAGCGTTTAGGAATTGCATAAATAGGATAAATGACATGCGATACCATAGAATATAATAGATATAAACTACAGGGTGTCAAAAAATAATGTATCTAAATTCGGTGGTGATTCTACAGATAAAAATAAAACAAAAAGTACCTTATGAACCAATGCTCTAAAATGCTTCCCGAAGAAGTTACAGTATAATAAAGTAATTTAATAATCGTAGACAATCTTTGTTAATAAACTTTTTTTAACCAATAAATGGCAATCTAGCATTTTTCTGTTTACATCTGGTTTGTATATTTTGGGTACCTTTGTTCCGTATGGTAAGGTTTATCTATTTATATTATTTGTGCGAGATATATGTATAGTCAAATGTTAAACACCCTCTACACTATGCCCGAAATGTTTCACCGTTCGACAAGATTTCAACGTTCTACAAAATTGTTATTTCAACACGCGTTTATAATATGTAATATGTTAATTTAAAAATGTTCGTGGACCGTATATTTATTGACATCGGGTCAATCAATAATTTTCCCAATCAGCTCGAAATATTGATGATGTTACCAGTATTACTAACTCATCAAGCAATACTACCGTTATATCAATCAATTAAGGCCGCGTAAGCAAACATAACAAATACAATTTTATATAGAAATTCATTATAATAAAAACTAATATTCCTGCAGATTAAGTGAAAAGTTTTGTTCTTAAATATTTACTACGTATTATCGCATGTTCAAATATTAATCTTGTGGAATATATATCAACATAAAACGAGATGTAATGAACGAAATATCATAGTTAAAACAGATATTTTAGAAACGTCTAGGTTTACTTATTTCACTGAGATTTATGAAAAAAAATCCTTTGGCTCGGGTATAGATACCGACACGTTTTAGAAACTGTTCGAAACGAAATGAAATTGAGCCAGACAACAGGAAAGACCAAAACGCGACTTTGACCTGTTTCGTTCTATTCTTCGAATAGTGTAGAGCGTGTATTACTCTGATATAGGAATATGGTTATATAACACCGATATATGCGTATCGTGTTTAACACCCTATTTTTTAAAGAAAAAGTGTGTTAAGGATCT